GATCGACGAGAATAGTTACACGATCGACGAAAACAGTTTGACGATCGACGAGATTAGTTACACGATCGACGAAAATAGTGACAGCATTGGTTTTAATACACCATAGATGAGAAATGTTTGACAATTGAATTGGCGAAAGTAGATGTTGAATTTATGACAGGATCGTTTAAACTTGAAACTGAATCGATGGGAAGGCAGTGAATCGACGAAACATAACTGAATCGACGACAGGATTTTTTGCCCTTTTGGCCGCCCATATGATTCGGATCAATAACCAATCAATAATCAGAATCAAAAAAATAAATCATTATAGAATGAAAATTTATGGGTGAAACAGCATAGGGTGGAGACTTTGCTGCCTTGGTAGAGGTCTGCTCTCTTGGAGTACTTTTCTAGTTGCTTTAAAGGTACATACGAACCGAGCATTGGTGGAGCATGGATTCCCAGTAATACATGTAAACCACTTCTACTAGTTTCATATACGACTCTAATATATGCGACATGCCAAGGGATTAACTGAATAAATCACCAGATCAGCCATAAAAAAGCTTTAGAGTGTTCCTTTCTTTAAATTTTTGGTTGTCAATTTAACCTACTTTCGTGACCTGCTTTTCTGCCCCATTGACATACAGCATAGAATGCTAGCAGAAAAATCTGTTCAAACATCACTTTCGGGTAAAATTAAACAATGCCTTTTGGTAATTCTCTTAGTTATACTACTTGAAACTATATGCTGGCATTTGGTTGGTTTTTATGACAAAAAATTGACTTTGTATGTATCTTTAATATGGGGCCGTAGGGATAGTCCGAAGGTTCAGACTATTGAACCTTCGGACTATTGCTACAAAGGTTCAATAGTCTAAAAGTTCATTGGTCCGAATGTGCACTATAGAACCTTCGTACCAATGAACCCTTGATAAAAAATCCATAAAAATGTTACCACTTTTCGGATCAATGAACCTTCGGACCAATGAACCTTCGGACTATCGAGACGCCCCCTTTAATATTAATTACCACTGTTTTTGGAGTTATTCCTCAACCACGTTTTCTTCCATGGAAGTAATGCCTGGGCATACACATGCTTCAAGTTACCCTGAAAGCAATCACTTTCATTAATGTTCGCGACCGTGTTTGAACTCACTTGTTTGAATATCGATATGGAATGTCATTTAAAAATACCAACACCATGAAATAAAAGAGATATATTGACAAAATATTAAAGCCCACCAAGAATCTGATAGGTTGGGAATGTTATTAGCTGGTTATTATTGGGAAGTGTGGCATTGCGTAATTAACAGGTATTATTGTTAACGAGCTCTTGGTCAACTACCATGCATTTAAAATGCATCAGCAATTACTAAGCTTGTCAACTGATGATAGTTAATTTGAAAGACTATCAGCTTTAGATATTATCTAAACCACCTGAGGCGACCATAATCTGGAGCATCACATCTACATGTTTTATCAAGAAAGTTAGTAAATAAGTCATGAAAGACCGTCACATACAAAGAAAGAAGATTGTCAACGAGTGCTGTTTTTTTTTTTTTTTTTTTGGGGGGGGGGGGGAATCCCCTGGCAACACCCAACCAA